GTCACATTATTTACCTTTACAATGTTAGTCCAAATCAAGTTCTTCCTGTTCGTTTCCATCTTATGCCAGTTCTCATAATATCTGGGAAAATTAACATAATTGTGCCCCCATTCAGCAAGGTATCTGTTAAAATAGTGTCACCAGCACCAATTGACTGGTTCGTCCTTTCGTCTCACTCTACAAGTATTCTATGGTCTGGATCCAACACATATACTTGTCTCATGACCAATATGGCTTCATATATATGTCCTTCAGGGTCTGTAAAGTTAAAGACCACAATTACATTAAATAATTATTAAAAATATAATAAATTTGACATACGCATAATTCAAATGTGAAATCCCCTCCCCTATGTAGTAGAATGACAAGGGATAGTTCGGTCCCTCTCCACTTGTTGTATCATCTCCACATCAAAATCATCTAAATCTAAATTAATATCTATGCTCTGCTCGTCATCATCAACATGCAGGGGTGATGAAGGGCCCTCATCATGAGCTCAACCTCGACCTCGACCTCGACGAGGCGGCTCTGAATATTCCATTGGTGCCTTTTCATGATGTCGAGACATAATTATAACTATATATTAAAAAAATACGGAATTACAATTTAATTAATATCCAATTTAATCAATTAATTACATAATCCAAATTATTAAATAATTATGTAAAAAATACATTTTTATAAATTTTATATGAATAATTATTATTAGTACAAATCAATATGTAAAGTACAACAAACTCAAATTATTTATAAATAGTTAATGTTAAACAATTATTTAAATCAATATTGAAATAATTAAATGTTTATAAAATAAATATATAAATTATCACATTAACATAGAAAAACAAATGTATACAGTAATAAAAAAATAAATTATAACAATTACTAAAAAGGTTTATATGTTCAGTTCTTAAAACGCACGTAACAATCTTTATATATATAATAAATTAATTACAATTAATATTACATCAACAGTTAATTTAACCAGTTCAATTCGTATATGCACTACATTTATAATCTATAACTACACAAAAATAAAAACAAATTAATTATGCAGTAATAGTTAAAAATACAAAGATAAATAAATAAACATATTCAAATGCAAACAGATAATTTCTAAACATCAACATAAAATGCATTCTTAATTAAATAAATTTTATATACAAAATTTTAATAAGCTTATACTAAAAATACTAACCTGGAGAAAGATCTTCAGAGTGAGACTCCCCTTAAAACTTGTCAAGATAAGTACTAACGCAACAAAAAAAAAACTAAGCACATACAAATATATAAAGAGCCTCCCTTCCAAAGGTAGAAACCGTGCTTTTGCACCGGTTTCTGCCGTGGTCTGTGAACCACTGCAGATTTTGAAGATTTTGCAGCGGTTTGTCAGAACCGCTGCAAAATCTCATATTTTGTGGCGGTTCTATTAGAGCCGCTGCAAAATATGTTACCATTTTGCAGTGGTTATTCGGAACCAATAATGTTCCTAGCAGTTTTTACCTCCAAATCGCTGCCAAATTTCGCTGCAAATATCCCGGCCATGCGGTGCCAAATTTTGGCGCCATTCTTTTGTTGCAGTTTTATTATAACCGCGGCTAACGCATAATTAACCACTGCAAACTTAAATTTTTGAGTCAAACCATTGTATATTTGTAGCAATTTTTTTTAATCGCTGCAAATTTTTGGATTAGTAGCGGTTATTTATAATCACTGCAAAATAATCGCTACAAAACACTGTTTTTTTTGTAGTATGTTGTTAATTGAATTCTATCACTAATTCATTGCTAATAAAATTTTAATAAGCCCCACATAAAAAAGATATTATAAAACCTATCCTGTCTTTTTTCTGATCCTTAAAAATGGAACCCTACTTTCTTTATTTGACAGAAGCACCACCTTCTTAAATATCATATCATAACTTGTGTCTTTTCCGTAACTTACACATAAAAATTTATTTTCATAATAATCATTCAAATATTTTCAGTTTGATCAATATCACTTTTCAAAATACGTGATTCAAACATTATTACCAGTTTTATAACAAATTCTATATTCAAACGTCACTGCACGAGCTTTGGTTTTGGTTTCTGAGCTGCACTGTTGTTGGATCGTCCAGTAGCTTTTTCACTATCCGATGGAATGCCCATGTCCTTCGTAATGTACTCGAATGGTTTCTACTCTTGCCTTTTATTGGCATTATGAGTACTTGTGGTCATCTCTTTCTACCTTGCGATGGTCTTCCAAGCTCTCAGTATCTCCGCTAGTGTAACGACTTTGAATCATCAATGTCTTCAAGAAGCTCTTTGATTAGTTGTTAGATCGTGTTACTCTAAAAGGAGTTGCATTATTATATTGGCTTCATATGGTCGTAGTGCCATCTTTCTAGTTTCGGCGTTATGCTCTAATAGATGGCCTATCAACTTTTTTTTATATTGGTTTCATTATTATATTACCACTGTTATGAATCCCACACGTACGTCAGGAAGGTTGCTTTGAAAGAGGACCCATATAAGGCTTTTGGCTCTTCAACTTCAGTAACTAACTTTTGGCCTGTGGTTCTCCTTAATACTTTGCTCATTACAATCTCTTTCACCTCATATCTCATCCACTCATTTCTCTCACCCCTTCTCCCTGTCATTTGTTTATCAAACTTTTTCTGCTAGCCAGGCAAATATCTTATGTAAATTTCTTTTTCCTAATTGTTGTTGACCAAAAATAACAACTAACCCCTCTTTAATGCTTCTCTGAGTTAAACAAATGGTGGTTGTGTTTATTGGTCGGATATTTGTTTAATTTTCTTTTCGGTGACGTGATATTTGTTTCATTTTATTTTAATGAAATCGATTACATCCTACCAAAAAATTAAGGTTGCTGCCAAAACCTATGCAAAATAATTAATGACATTTAGGTGTCAAACCAACGTTCGTGGACACTGATTCATTGTCCCCAACACCAGATGCTACCTAAAGGGGATGTACCAGAGTTGTCAATTCCCCATATCAACTGCTACTCTCATCCTGCGTACATTAAATTTTTTTTATCCTATTTATAAATCACGTCATTAAAGTTTTAGTATGAATGTATTATTTTTGTTTTTCATTTATTATAATATACTCCTCCGGTCCTTAATATAAGACCCATCTAACTAATTTGATTAGATTAAAGAAGTTAGGTAAGTTAGTTAATTATAAGAAATGTGACACATTTTTCCTAAAACACCATAATCATCTTTCTTAATACCTCATCTCCCTCTTCTACTTGATTATGGTTGAGGGAATACCCATAGGGGTAATTTAGAGAAAAATGATAAATATAAGAAATAGGTCTTATATTTAGGACCAAAACCAACTCAACAATTGAGTCTTATATTAAGGACCGGAGGAGTAGATTGTTATAAAAAGTGTATATATTAAATAGGGGTAAAATTTGAAAAGTTGGTATATTTTAAAATAAAGTTAATGCAAGTTAAGATTTTTCTTAATGGGTTTGACATATGCCAGAAATGCCAATAGGACCAGAGGAGTATACTTTTAATAGTATGAATATGACTACACCGCTTACTTTTCTATTACAAGTCACTTTCATCAACTAATTTTCACGAATTGAAAAAATAACAGTTAAATTATTAAATATATCTTAAATTGATGAAAGTTGTTAAGCTTGGTGTCATAAAAGAATGTGTACAGAAAAAAATATTTTAAACATATTATCTCATTTCCTTTCTCTTTATATACAATCAGAATTTACAAATCATTTTCAGTCCTTCCTTTTTTTTCCTCTTTTCAACGGGTCCAACTAAGAGAGGAAAAATTGCAAAGGATAATCATTAATAATAACCTGAATTAAATTATTTTTCAGGAAAAATTGAGAAAATTTTTTGCATCGAGAATTTTATTAATAAGGAGGATCTAAATTAAAGTAGTGGCACTCCATATGTACAAAATTAGCAAATCATTTTTACCACGCACTCTCTCCCCTCTTCAATTCCCCCTTTACAACCAATACAAGAAAAAACAGTGAAAGGTTAACCATTAATAATAAAATGAAATAAATTATTTTTTCGGGAAAATTGAGAAAAAGTCCGCTCATTAAAAATTTTTATTGACAAGACATACGTAACCAAGATTTTGTAATTGAGAAGACATACCTAACCAGGTTTTGTACAAAATCTACAAAGTACCCGAATCTTCCATATCTAGAAATTTTTCAAATCTTTCTTACAAATAACATTTCTAATTGTGAACTTTATCCCAATTCTTTTTTGGTTATATTCAACAGGTACTGGAGTGGTGTGCTAAAAAAAAAAAAAGACAGTGGGTACAATTTTCACTTTTATTAAATATGATTAATTTATTCAATCTATTTTGTAATCAACTGCTCATACGGTTTTTAATATAAGACCTATTTAACAAATTTGATTATATTAAGAAAGTTAGATAAGTTAGCTAATTATAAGAAATATGACATGTTTTTCATAAAATACCATAACCATCTTCCTTAATATCATCTCTCCCTCTTTTACTTGATTATGGTTGAGGGAGCATCCATAAGATAAATTTAGAAAAAATTAATAAATATCAGAAATAAGTTTTATATTTAGGACTAAAATCAACTTAACAATTAAGGCCTACATTAAAGACTGGAGGGGTACTTAATTCTTTTTATTTTCTAGTTGGTTAACTATTGATTATTCTGAATAAGAAAAAACCTTAAAATCAAGAAAAACGTGCGACCCATTTTTTCAGTTATTTCACATTTAAGGGTTTATAGCAGGATGGCGGCATAGAAACAAAAGGATGGCGGCGATAGAAGAATTCACAATGGGAAATAACAAGAACCACTCATTTTATGGACTCTCAATCACCACTCTCCCCTATATATATCTCCACCTGTTTTGGTGTAGTCACTACAAATAAAATTAAAGATTTGACTCTACGAGTGAGTAACATATATACTATAGTTATATATATACAGAAGCACACAAATCTGAGAAGAATATGGATGTGGCTTCAGTGTTGCGCATGAATGGAGGCACCGGAGATGCAAGTTATGCTAACAATTCCTTGTTACAGGTATGTGTGCGTAAGCTTCCACAAATGTATAAGAAAATTCATAAAATATAATATTTTCTTCTATCTTTAATACAAGACCTTAATCTTTTTATCTCTCAAATTTGTAATTTTCTTAAATTATTCCTAGTAATTGCACATATTAAAGATGGGTTCTCATACATTGGGACATTTTTCATTTCAAATAATTAAAACGAAACTAGCATTTTTTTACACAAATAACTAAATCATCTTATTTATTTAATTTTCATAAATTAGTTATTTAGCTCTTAAATTTTGTACTCAATAGACTACTACATATATAATTGGTTTTGGTAATTGGTGTGGGGACAGCAAAAGGTGCTTTCCAGAACAAAGCCCATTAGAGATGAAGCTATAAGGAGTTTCTACAAAGAAAAGCTCCCTAAAAGCCTAGCAATTGCAGACTTGGGATGCTCTTCAGGACCAAACACTTTGTTTATGACCTGTGAACTCATCGAAACTGTGGAGATGCTTTGTAGAGAGCTAAGCCATGAATCTCTAGAATACATCATCTTCTTGAATGATCTTCCCGGAAATGACTTCAACAACATTTTCAAGACTCTTGACTGCTTCAAACAAAAGCTAAGCAGTCATGTTTTAGGTGGTGGGATTGGTCAGTGCTACATCACTGGCCTTCCTGCTTCTTTTTATGGCAGGATTCTTCCTGATAATTCTCTGCATTTTGTTCATTCCTCCTACGGTCTTCACTGGATTTCTCAAGTATGTATATCAAATCACTTTCTTTTCAATACCGGTTATTAATTTTTATTACTGATTTTTATCATTTCATTCCCATATAGGTTCCCAAAGGTGTAGAAAACAATAAGGGAAATATTTGCATGGGAAGGACAAGCCCTTATAATGTTCATAAAGCTTACTACAACCAATTTCAAAGAGATTTTTCTTTGTTTCTGAAATGTCGTGCTAGAGAGCTTGTTGAAGGAGGTCGTATGGTTCTTACACTCCAAGGAAGAAGAAGCAATGCTCCATCAAGCAATGTATGTTGCTACGCTTGGGAGCTTTTAGCTCAGGCACTCAATGGCATGGTTTTGGAGGTACACACACATGTTTTCTATTTTGACCATATATATTTTGGGGAAATTAATTTCTAAACCCCAATAAGCTCCCCATTGTTTTCAGGTCTTGCTGTTTTTTTTTTCCGTTTTTTTTTTGAATCAAGTCCTTATATTTTCATCTAATTTTTAATCGGATCCTATTACTTTTACATGACTAATAAAAATGGAAAAAAATTACAAGTAACTAATTTAAAATTAGGTGAAGCCATGAGGATCTGATTAAAGGAAAACAATTAAAGAGAATTACAACAAGATCCCAATAAAAGAAAATAATTACAAGTAATTCTTAATGACAAGTGTCATTTATTGCTTTGAAACTTGTTATTGCAAACTATTCTGGTGTCATTAAATCTTTTTAGTAATTACGTTCTTTACTTGGGATTTCATTCCAATTCTCCTAAAAAATTACAGGGACCTAATTAAAAATGGATTCAACTATAAAGACCTGATTAAAAAAAATAAAAACTACAAAAAATTAATTAAAAATTAGATAAAATTACAGGGATTTATTGATGATTTTTTCCATATATTTTTAAACATACACTTTTCTTCGAAATACATGCAAAAAAAAAAAATCATGATCAAAGAATTTGTTTTGGCGAATGGTGCAGGGAATCATAAAGGAAGATCAGATTGATTCATTCAACATTCCAATGTACCATCCATCCCCATCTGAATTGGAATTAGAGATTGAAAAAGAAGGCTCCTTCACTTTGAATCACTTGGAGGTATTTGAAGTAAGTTTGAAGGCAGCTTGTGGTGAAGATAAACTCGACATTAATAACAGTGATGGATACAAAGTCGCACAATTAGTGAGAGCTGTGGCTGAACCTCTTCTTGTGAGCCACTTTGGAGAAGCTATCATTGATGAAGTTTTTCATCGTTACCAACATGTGTTAGCTGATCGTATGTCTAAGGAAAAACCCATTTTGCTCAATTTCGCAATATCTTTGACCAAAACAACGACTTGAAGCAACCAAGGGATAAATGTTTCCATGATATATTGGTGATTATATGTGTATGAATAAATTACTCCCTTCAGTTTGTAAGACCCATTTTGCAGTGCAATTATAGTATAAAATAGGTCTTGCATTTAAGATCGGAGGAATACTATTTGTTAGTCTTCTTGTGTGTTTTTGTTTTATCATTAATCTTGAGTTTAAGTTAATTTTGCATCCTCATAATTTATGATGATAGTGCAGCGTCAAGAGATTTTTATGGTGTGGGTTGTCACATTCTGAATTTTGGGTCTAGAAGTACCCAAATTAACCTAAAATGAGTAGGCTACCAGAATTTTTTTTAGTAGAGGTCCCAGAAATTCCCTGGAAGGACAATATGATTCATAGGGACTAAATCGCAAAGGAAAAGTTTTTTGAGACGAGAAAAGAGGAAGTTAGAGACTCGGAAGAAGTCTCAAGGCCCAAGAATGAGAAATATAGATAAATGTAGGCCAAAGGTTATGTTAGAGGCTTCAATGAGGTGAATTTTGAGGTTAAGCCAAACTAGGGACAAAATTGTAATTTTGTAAAGTTTCAAGCTGGTAGGGGTAAAAATGGAAATTATGCCCGAAAATCCGAGAAAAATCTCAAAAAATGGGAAATGGTAGGTTAAGGCCTGAACACTTCAGAAAAATTCCAGAAAAATGAGAATAAGGTTCAGAGGCCTGTCTGATACTAAAAATGATGAAAATGTCCCTAAGGAATTTGTGGAATTCCCAGGGTTTTGATTGATTTTGAATATTATTAAAAATGAATTATTTAAAGTATAGGGAGGCCTTAGATAATTGGAAGGAAATAGGGGAAGATACTTGAGAAATTATCGCAGGTTTTCAAAATAGTTTCATCCCCAGAAAGTGAAGAGGTTGGTTTTAATAGAATTTAAAGCCTATTTACATACTATCCAGGAAAAGTCAAAGTCAAATGTCTAGAGGTTGACTTTGGACTTAAGAAAAAGTAGAGGAATTTCCTGTGATGAATAAATAGTATTGGTACCCGGAGATAGATTCTCGGAGTTGTGGACCGGTAGAAAGAATTTGGTTAAGATCACTCTGAAATAAATATTATTAATTATTTTAATTATTTTAATGGAAGAACAAGGGAAGAGTGTCACTTTATCTTTGGACATGTTATATAATGCCATATGGATTTAGTTGAGGTGAGAAAATGGTGCCATAACATGTCCCAGTAGTTCCGGGAAGGTCAGGACCCAAAAAAGTACCCTATACGATGCATGATAACAAGATAGGTGGAGAAATACCTAAGGGTTGTATTTTGCACGATTTTATATTAATTTTCTCCCTATTTTAATGCCCTAATGATGAAGGAAAATGGAAGAGACAAGTGTACGGTTAGATGACAAAAGAAGATATTACGTGTACGGCTAGACGCAAGATATGTGTATGGTCGAATGCAAGACACGTGTACAGTTAGATTAAAAGCAAGTTGATTGATGATGTAAGCATGATGTCATCATGATGAGGTAAGCATGATGTCATGGGACATTTGTTATCATAAGATTAAAAGAGAAAATGGACGGTCCAGATCAAGCCACATGTTTTTAAGATCAACGGCCCAAATTCAGTTTTATTTTCTATAAATAGCCCCTCCCCTCCATCATTTTCATCCAAGCTCATGGACCTATGGGACAACTCTTGCAAAATGGTTTCTAGAGAGAGAAAGAAGAGGGAGAAAGAAAGGCCAAGTGGTCATATACAAGATCAAGCTCTAAAACAAGGTATGTTCATGGTTTTTGATGTAGTTTTCACTATCCTTGTTGTTGTTGAGATTGGTTATGGATTTTAATGATTTTTGGGAGCTTGGAACCCTGAGGAGGTATTGTACAAAATTCTTAAGATTAGGGGAAGATGAAATTGATTTTAGAATAATGTTCAGGCTTTAATGGAACACGAAGTGAACACGAATTGGTTTTATGCTGAAATTGGTTGAATTTCATGATTGTGTAACTTGAGAAAATGTTTCAGCCAGACCTGGTTCTTATGCCTAGGATGTGATTTTGATGATTCCAATGGATTCTACATGCAAAATTGTGTAGGGATAAGATGAAAGAATGAAGTTGGAAGCATTAGAATCAAAACTGAAAATTAAGTGACAGATTTCGGTTTTGGCCTAGGACTATCTAAACTCATATTTGGATTCCTTGGGCAAAATTGTGTAGGATTGGCCTAAGGGAACAATTTTTACAAAGCTAGAACACTACATTATAAATTAAGGAAAAATGGATTAAGTTTGAGGACATAAGTCTTCCATGTTGTGTAATTCTTGGTCCTAATAAGTAATGTTACCCTTGTGCCTGTGATTAGGACCTTGATGCATCCAAGAGAAAGTTTGGATGTGGTTGAGAACCCAACCTTAATAGTTGGAAGCAAAAGGGAGTAAGAAGAAAGCTTAAGGATAAAAGGTAGCGAACTTATCTTTCTTGTGTGCTTGATGTGTATGCGTGTATGTGCTATGAATGCCATGATGTGACTAAGCTATGTTATTGAATTATGATTTCTATATTTATGTTAAGCATGCCTTGGCATTATGTTATGTGAATATGAATGAATTGGCTTACTTTCCATGACATTTCACTATGCATGAATGATGAAGTTATGTGCACAAAAGCATGTCATACACTTACATCCATCTTGCATGCATAAATGGTAATATTTGCTACTGAGATTCTCCCAAGTCTCACCTTCCTTAACCAACCATAGTAGGTCAAATGATAAAAAGAAGGCATGCATGACGAAGAGCAAGAAGATGGAAGCAAAGAAAGTGGAGAATTTACATGCGTTTCAATGTAATGATTGACACGCTAATTGTGTAATTAATTGTGGATATGTCAAGCATGAAATATGATGTAATGTTTGATGTATAATGTAATGGCATGCAACTCAAAGTATATGAATGATAGGAATCCATAAAGCTAGTTGTTGCATGTTTAAATGAGGGAGAATTAGAGTAAGAATTGTTTGATGGATAAAACGTAGGTCTTAGAGCAGTCAGTTTCTAGCTCCTGTTTGACCTATCAAATGAATGAGTTAAGGAATGAAATTTGGCATGATTAAGGTACACATCCTGAGCTTTAAAACAAGTGGTACATCACTTAAAAGATGTATGTGGTATGAGTTATGATTGCTCAAAGTTGGATTGAAAATCTGGAATTTAACTAGTAAACAGTAACCCGTGTAATTATGTTAAAATTTTCAATCTACGGGCTTGTTTCATGAATTGCTTAAATCATAACGCTTCCAAATGCGTACTCTAAGGGGTTAAATCTAGGATTTTTCATGGGTCAATTGTAAGAATTTAGATGAAGAAGCATGAAAAGGGCGAAATTCATATGTGTGAGCCCCACTTTTGAGATTTATGGTATTTTGGGTTAATTTTAAATAGGCTCAAAGAGAGGGTCATTTTCATCCCACTTTTTTCCCCCCCCCAAATAAGAACAAAGGGTCATCTAGCTTTTCATGTCCTTCAAGGGATATATTGTTTTTTCCCTTTTTTTCGATCCTTCAGTAGCACAACTCTCGTATGTTGCCAATATTAAATTTGCTGCTTATCATCAATTTACACTAATAAATTATCCAATTTTTTTATTTTTAGCTTTTTAAACTGACATGATAATTATTTTTAATGATGATAATGATGAAAAAAGTAATATTAATAATAATACAACAATAACAACAACAAAGCCTTATTCTACTAAGTGGGGTCGACTACATAGATCGCATGACGCCATTGAGCCCTATCCAAAGCCAAATCTTTGGATAGGTTGTTAATTGAAAGATCTCTCTCAATGACTTCCTTAAGCGTTATCTTCAGCCTTCCTCTACTCCTTTTTAGAGGACTCCATACTATTTAAACAACTCTTTTTACTAGTGCGTCCCAAGGCCTTCTTTGCACGTGACCAAACCATCTCAATCGGTTTTCTACCATTTTCTCATCAATATTAGCCACTCCAACTTTTCTTCTTATCTGTTCATTACGGATCTTGTCTTTTCTTGAATGACCACACATCCATCTCAACATTCTCATCTCAGCAACTGCCACTTTATGTTCATGTTGTCCCTTTAAAGCCCAACACTCACTGCCATATGGCATTATCGGTCTTATAGCAATGCTATAAAACTTTCCTTTGACCTTATTTGGTACTTTCTGATCACAAATAACTCCTATTACTTTTCTCCATTTAAACCACTCAGCTTGAATTCTATGATCAACATCTCCATCAATTTCCCTATCTTTTTGTATAATTGATCCCAAATATTTAACCTTTTCCACTTGTTGAATGACCTGGTCTCCCAATCTGACCTCCAACTCTGTACTAACTTGTCCCTTATCAAAACTACAATGCATATATTGTCTTGCTACTACTCAAACAGAAACCCTTTGATTCCAAGGTTCTTCTCCATGTCTCAAGTTTAGTGATAATCTCTTCTTTTGACTCAGGCGATAGAAATATCATCAGCAAAAAGCATGCACTTTGGGATTTATTCTTTGATATGCTTAGTTAGAACATCGAGAACTAGGTTAAATATAAGGGCTTAGAGATGATCCCTGATGTAGGCCAATCCTTATAGAAAGTCTTTTGTCTCGCCGCCTGGTGTTCTAACACTAGTTGTGATCCCCTCATACATGTCTTGTATGATTTTAATATAAGCGACACGCACCCCTTTCTTCTCCAAGGCTCTCTAGAGCACTTCTCTAGGCACATGGTCATAAGCTTTGTCCAAATCAATAAAAATCATATGCAAGTCTCTTTTATGACTTGGTACTTTTCCATTAAGTCCCTTAGTAAATAAATTGCTTCTGTTGTCGATCTTCCTGGCATATAAACCCAAATTGGTTTTTAGAAATACAAGTCTCCAATCTCAACTTATGTTCCATCACCTTCTCCCATAATTTTATGGTATGGCTCATGAGTTTAATCCCTTTGTAACTAGCATAGTTCTAAATATCCTTTTTAG